GTATCTCCTCTGAGCTTTTTGTTTCCTTTTGAATTTACGAATAGTACAGGCCAAGTTTGAGGAGATCGGTGCGGGTATTGGATTAGGTTTTTGCATTGTCTACGTATCGTATTGGTTGGCTTGTTAATTTCGGCCTTTTCTCTAGGCCCAAACGCGCTGCGCGCCCTGAAGGGACTGGGATTGCTCGACTCATTGGTTGCCCGTCAGTCTGAGCGTGGCGCACTGAGCTCTTTTCAATTCAGATCTGGGCTTGCTGACAGGGAGTTTACATATGATGTGAGTGAGTGAAAGCCTCAGCAACCTGAATGCTTTGACGGCTCATCAAACCTAAAGTATCCATGCGCACCCGAGGATGTTGGAATGACAATTCACAGGTATTCGTCCATTGTATCTCCTTGTTTATTAATGGTTTACGGACACCCCAGGGCTATGTTCCATTCTGCGATGCTTGACTCCCTTGACTCGTCCATCATTCACATGAACAAACGCTGTCTATCAGTAACAAAGAACAGCAGATCCACCTATACCATCAAGTTCACTGATGGAACCTCGCACGAAGCTGAGGTTATCATTGGAGCCGATGGAATCAGAAGTGCTGTACGCGAATCCATCATCGAGACTGATCAACGATATCCTGTCTACACTGGGACAACTGCATATCGAGGTCTCATCAAACGCGAGAGACTTAATGAAGCTGGATTCAAGACGCATCTTGAGCGTCCAATTTGCTTCCTAGGAACACATAAGGTCGTTCTTCTGTTGCATTCTCTTTCCCGGATCTGTCTGATCGTTGTCAAACAATAAACAGCACCTCATAGTATATCCCATTAAAGCAGGGGAATTGGTATGAAATGTATTGAATATACTACAAAGCTGACTGACCCACAAATTTTTCACAGATTAATGTGGTTGTTTTCGCCACAGGTTCGAAAGCAACATTACCAACTGCGACGTCTCGGGAAGAAGAACACCTCTTGTCCCAGTTTAGCGACTGGAATCAAGACGTTAAAGCTATGATTCAATGTATGGAACAGCCATCGAAATGGCCGCTTCATGAGCTGGATCCCCCTTTGCGTACTTTTGTTTCAGACCGTGTTGCGCTCATTGGGGATGCTGTATGTTTCCAGCAGCGTCTTCTTCGCAATGAGCGCTGACAGCGCCACACTACAGGCACATGCAATGCTTCCTCACCTCGGAGGCGGAGTTCGCCCAGGGCATCGAAGACGTGTACGTTCTTTGCGAACTACTTGGACATCCACAGACCAAGCTATCCAATGTCAAGGTGCGTGAATGAAGTCATCCACTTTAGCCTACTTAGAATATTTTCTGCAGGATGTTATCCAAGCATATGACCGCGTCCGTGTTCCGCGTGCCACAGATGTATCAAATAGAAGCAAGTTCACTGGTGAGGTCTTTCAGGGACATGGTCTACCAGACCGCACTGATGAAGAGACTCTCGCTGGACTAACTAACATGTGGGCTCCATTGTGGTATCATGACCTAGAAGCTGATAAGGCCGAGGCATTCAACTGGCTGGAGGAAGCAGGAATCTTCGTACCCAAAGACGTAGCGACGGGGGCATAGCTCATGAGCAGTAATGTTTCGTTTTCAATAGAATGAAAGATGTTCGTATTTCTATTGATTGTGTATCTCTTTCTGTTCTCAAGTCAATGGAGCAACAAGTAATGGAATGTGATTAGTCTTTCCCTGGGAATCGTACATCGAATCAAAGCAGTAAAGTAGAACCGCTATGACACCTCCCCATCTCCAAAGACCCATTTCTCGAACCAATCGTACGCGAACCACATACATCCATGAATCGTCGCTCTGGTTGTCTTCATCCAGATGGGTAAGTTACCGTCTTTATCTGCATATTGGGCCATCTTTCGGAAAAAAAAGAACATGAATCGCGCCCACGTCGCACGAACGACTGAAAGACCCCATTGCTGACGGGTAGAAATGGGCGTGAAGTGAGGTGTTGACTCAAGATATCTGATATAAGACGGGGGCATTTTGTTTTCTAGAACGAAATAGAATCAGTACTTTAAACCCACAAATGATCATACTACACACCCTTTGGCACCGTTACGAATGAGAGACATATACCTTAAAGACGCTTGTCCGGGGCGAGTGCGGCGCTCTTCTGTCATGAGGGTGTAAACATCCACCGTTTCTTCCAATACCCGATTGTATTCGGACACAACATTGGCCTGAACTTCCAACGGTTGGTACAGAGTACCTGCGCCTTCAACTTTAAGGATCTGTACAAAGTCCTGTGGCGTAAGAAGGAAAGCGACGCCTAGCAACGCGCCTCTACCAGTCCATTCCTTCTCCAGGTCAAATTCCGGCACCGTTTCTCGGACAAATCGAATATTCGCAAAGCGAGGCTCGACGTATGGTATTCCATGATGATCAAACGCTAGCTCTATACCCTTCGCGAGGACGACTTTCTTTGCGAGTGGTGTGATATGTCGGGCGACGAGGAAACCAGAAGTGGAAAGATTGCTCCCGTAGGCCAAATACCAGCGAGGCTCTACTGGGGCTCGCAAATATTTCGCAGTTGCATCGACGAGTTTGATGGGTGCTTCGGACAACATGGGCTACAGGCGGTGACGATGATTGGATCATGATGGTTGGGGATGAAGACTGAAGTGATTGGCCATGGATCATACTTGATTGATACGGAGCCTTCGGATTATTACGTAGTGCGTGCTCCGAACGACCACCGAATGAACCGGCTTAAAAACTCAAACGTAAACGCGTAAACACCCAGCTTCATCGATTCATATATGTATCTTGATTCTGACGGCGAACTAACACATGGAGATTTGTTTTTTTTTCTTTCCGAGGGACAAGCGAACCAGGTTCAAACATCCCGATGCTGTACATTTTAGTCTTTTCAGATGTACATACTAGTCTTCATCTCTTGATTCTGATTCTCTGGCTTCTGCCAGTGTCATTTTACGCCTGTTTGCACGGGAAAAAAGGGTGAGAAATAACTGCCCCTAGATCGCGAGTTATCTAACGCGTTTTTCAGATCGCACTGGCCCCACTTTGTAAAGGGATTCTTAGTCTTCAAACTCATTTCATCTTCCTTAACACTGACCGTGATCATGGAACAATACAAGTACTCTTCCGCGGACGGCAAAGTCTGGACGCGTAAGCTTCATGGAAGCGAGGTCATCATGGCAAATGCTGCGTAGGTTCATTTTGCCAGTCTTTGGTACATGGTCTAACTAGCTCGCAGCAAAACTCTCAATGGCTGGGGTCTTTTCTCCATTGGAGTGAGCTTATCGATGCTCTCTCCCACAAATAACATCAAGCAAAATGTCTCGGACGCGTGGACTAGACTTCGTCATGCGCTTCCCGCCCTTGCTGCGTTGAGTCGTGGCGAGGAGGACGGTTCTGGACCCGTTTTCTTGTATCAGGTCGATGATCTGAGGGAATGGTTGGACAAAACAATCATTTGGCACAAAGACGAGATATCTTTGGCCCAGCGCCACGTTGAATCCAAAAAGCGGGCTTGGACAGCTTCAGACGGACATTATGCCTCCGAGTTGCATGTTTCAAGTACTACGACGGGTCTACAAGCATTGTTAGTTCATGTTGCTTGAATCGGTTGACTTTGGTAATTGACATATCTCGTTTTCAGAATCCACGGCGCACACTGGAACGTCGACGCGCGATATCTCTTTTCCGTCATGGATCTCTATCTCAGCCTACTAAAACGCGAAATTCTGAAGGAGAGCGCACCATTGGCAGCTTTGAATTGGGGCGAAGAAACAGTTCGGCTACCTCCTTCGGCTGCTGTAGCTTCTGGTCTATTTGGTCAACCATTCCCGCCTCCACCCCCGGGAAATCCTGTATGTACATTCCAATCTTTATCCATTTGAAGTCTAATATGTACCTTGAAGATAATATTCATGAGACCATGCAAGCTTGTCGATAATCCTCCACCAGAAAGCATCCCAGATTATACGCATCGGATCACGCTCACCACCGAGGAGAGTTCCCAATTCCGACAAGCCTGCAAGAGCCGTGGAAGGACCGCTACTCAGATTCTAGGATCACTCTGGGTGCTCGCGGAGATCAAGACCACAATGTGGCTAGCAAAAACTCAGCCTGACAAGTACGGCGAAGCGGCGGATCTCTACAAGACCGCAGATTTGACTGTTTGCGCCCTTACGCTCAATGCCGTGAGCTTCAAAGTTACCATCTCATTAATGTTTAACTGACCCACATATACTACAGCGTAACAAACTCTTGACCGAGTATTCGTCGTTAAGTTCCGTCAATGCCACTCCTGGGATGTCTGTAGACTCTGTTCCTGTGATGTTTGACATGAACGTTGTTCGCAAAGCTCTCCAAGTGAGCAGTGAGGGAATATCCTTCCGGAATTCCGACCCGACTGTTTTCTGGAACGAGGTTGTTCCAGCGTTTATTGCGGCTTGGGGCTCAGTTCCTGTAAGTTTTGAATTTATTCACTATTTCTGTTTACCAACCGCTCTACATATTTAGACCGATGCAGCCTCTTTTGTCTCCAGAGAGGAGTTTTTCAACGCTCACCCCGAAGTGTTGACATTCGATAAGCCCGCAATAGTTTGCTCATCCATCGGCGACATTGACATGCTCGGTTTGATTGGAAAAACAGCCTTTGCTCCTGCGTTCACGGTGGATGAGCTTGATAGTGCCATTCGATTCAGCGGCCCGTTAAATGGGGTCATGGTGTGGCAATGGAGTGGGCGGATGGAATTGAGGTTTGCAAGTGGACCAAAGACGGTTGAGAAGAGTGTCTTGGAGCACCAAGCACAGATCTACATGGATATGTTACGACTCGTATCTCTTTAATGCTTGCATACGTGAAAAGTTTTGGCATCGGACGCAGAACACCCATAAAATAAGTAAAGTCCTTGGATTTTTTATATAAATTATTTTTATTCAGAATTATCTTTTGCACTGCACGCTAGCAGTTCGAGGGTAAAAGAAGACAAAGAAAAAGACTGCCCCAGAGAGGCTCGAACTCTCGACCTTCCGATTTATTAATTCATAACAGTCGGACGCTGTAACCAACTCAGCCATGGGGCATGGGTTCAAAACTCATTTAGCTTGGTCATTATCAGCTGAGATGATGTTGGCGGTGGCGTCTTTCTGCGGTGGCGTTTTTCTCTCTCTCTATACTCACAACGGCTCTAGCCACTAATCCCGGTCGAAATATCACGTCTTCGTAGAAAGCGATGCTTTGGCGATGACAGAAGGGTCGAATGCTGATTCGACAAGGGTCTAGAGATCAGTGAAGCTGAATTCCAGTGCGTTATCTCAACTTATCACAACCTTTTGTTGCTCAAACTCTTCTGAAATTTTTTCTGAACACGCTCTAGACTTGTCAAAACTCGATTATTACTTTATCCTAACGCTAGGACTAACTGCTTCTATCTTTCATATGTTGTCCTGAACTTCAGTTGCGCCTACGAATCGGAGCAGAGCCTTGATTGGACCATGCGCTAGGAACAGATGCGGAGTACGAGGAACTGTGATATGATGCGGTATCTACCGGTCCCGCTCCTTTCTGCTATAGCTATCCTGTATTTATCAATCACACAGACTTGGTCGTTCCTCGCAAACACAGTCACTGTTTGGGGATATGATCATCTTTTGTCCAATCAGATCGCTCTTGCTCAACAGTGACCGATGGAGGTATTTGTGACTCCGCCGTCCTTGTTTGAATGCCGTGGCCGTGGAATGAAATCTTCCTTCCTTGGAATCCTTGCTTCCATCATGCTTCCCTCCATCATGATAATAGTGTTTATTCACTTCCTGCCATCATGTTTCCCCCCATCATGGTATTAGTGTTCTATTCACTTCCCGACATTGGCAGCCGAGTATCGCCACGCTTACTCATAACCATAACCTACCTTCGAGATCACAATCCTCGAGTCTCTCATCTCCGAGCCCCTGCCGTCCACCATGTCGGACGCCAGCCTTGCGCATCCCGAATCCGTGACGAAAGTCGAAGATAGTCTGTCTACTCCCGATGTCGAGACAACAATGGCTATCCGTGGTCGCACTACTCTTGGCGCAATTCTCTTGACTATGACTGTTACCTTGGCTATGATGGTCAACGTGCGTATGATCCCTATGCCTGCATGAGGCTAATGCAGGGCTAATGCGACATTTCTCAGAGCTTCAACATTACCTCGGTTTCACTGGCTGTACCGACTATTGGTCGCGATCTCAGTATTACTGAGGCGTCTCTTGTTTGGCTAGTAGCCGCGTACTCGTTGAGCTCGGTAAGTCCGTACACCACGCTTTGTCTATGTGTATCTTACGGAACCCAGGGATGTCTTCTGATCCTATTTGGACGCGTCGCAGATTTATACGGCCGCAAGAAAACCTTTCTGGCTGGAACCCTGAGTTTGATTGCATTCACGATTGGCTGTAGTTTTGCACAAGGTACCAATGTTCATAAATTGTTTATTCCCTTTTCTAACCAACAAAATATCTTTGTAGACGGCTTAACCCTAGCCATTTTGCGTGGATTTCAAGGTATCGGAGCCGCTGCTACGATTCCAGCATCGGTAAGTTTTCATTCACAGTCGAGATGTTTTGTGCTAAGCTGTTTGACTATAGCTTGGTATCATCGCTCATTCTTTCCCGCCCTCACATGCACGCTCAGTGGCCTTTGCAACCTTTGCCGCTGGAGCACCTCTAGGTAAACTGTTGGCTATCCCCGACTGGTCGCGTATCTGATGTTTTTCGATTATAGGATCCGCTCTCGGTACAATTCTTGGTGGTGTGATTACACAGTTAGCTTCAGGGTACGTCCGAAGCACGACGTTACTTTGAAACCTAAATTTGATGTCACTTTTTTTAGAGAAACCTGGCGTGCGGATTTCTGGCTGTCTGCGGGACTCACCTTCCTCTGTCTACTTGGTGGAATGTTCTCCATCGACAAAGACAAGCCATCGGAGGAGAAAGACCGCAGAATCGATTGGCCTGGAGCATTCCTGGTCACAGCTAGCTTGGTCTTAATATCATTCGTCTTGAATCAAGGTGAAGTCGCACCCAACCGTTGGGCTACGCCATGTATGTCTTTTTCCTTTCCCGCTATCTTCTAGTCCTTACCAAAACGTTATAGATATAATCGGATGCCTTGTCACCGGAGTAGTCCTCATGGTCATATTCCTGGTCTGGCAACATTATCTGGAGAAGGCTTTGGCAAAACCGACTGGTAGCGCATCTCCTCTGACACCTCCTCCAATCATGAAACTATCTCTCTGGAAAAAATCTAACGGAATGCTGGCTGCTCTCATGTGTATCTCCTTCTTAAATTTTGCGAGTTTCCTGGCCTGGTTCTATTGGATTCAGGTCAATATCTACATTGACATCCTTGTGCCAATACTCGCTCTGACATGTTTTTCAGCTGTATTATCAAGACTTCCTTCTTTTGACACCAATCCTTACAATGGTCCGAATGCTCCCCATGTTTGTCACCGGGGTGACATGCAATGTGAATCATGGGGCTCATAGCCCATCGAACGCCCTTGGTCGTTATCATAGGTGAACTTTAATCCTGTGTTAAACAATGAATCGATATCTCATGTACCCCTTTCAGTGACTGGAACCACCGTGACAAGCATTGCGTGCCTGCTCTTCGCTGTTATTGTACCATCCGCGCCATACTGGGCCTTTGGCTTCCCAGCAGCCATATGCTCCGTTTTCGGGGCTGATTTCGTTTTTGCTGGTAGCCATTTTCCTTTTCTTCATGTATACTTGCTTTATTTATTTATCTATCATCACAAGGTGGCACGATGTTTGTGGCGAAGACAGTTGAGCCTCATGAACAGAGCTTGGCAGGTGCACTCTTCCAAACCATGGCTCAGGTATCTATTTGTTCTCATCATCGCATGTCTGGATCTCATACATTCTATTCTTCTATTCTTCAGCTAGGGCAGGCTCTTGGAGTGACCATTACGACTATCGTGTTCAATCAAGTGGCGGCAACGCATGCGAAGGTGGGAGATACGACACCACCATTGAAGGCTTACCAGTCAGCCCAATGGACGGCGTTTGGTTTCGCCATTCTAGCGACTATCCTTGGTGTCCTATGTTTGCGAGGAGCTGGAATTGCTGGAGATCAGACAGAGAGCGACATTCCCCCGCCAAAAACAGAGTCCGACCATAGTACGGGAACGATTCCTTAATTCATTGAGCTTAGTCCGCTACCGTTTAGTTTTGTACATGCTGTCGATTACGGTCTATATAATTATAAAGGGCTTTATCCTTTACTTTTTCAAGCTCCTTGGCTCTTTCCGAGGTCATCGACTTTGTCATTCCAATTGAAGACTACAAATCTACAACTAGCGCGGATTCTACCTAGAATTTAGAAAAGTCGATGTATTAGGCTTGGCATCTGCAGGAAATGAAATCTCATCTCACTAGACTCAAAAGGCATTGGTTTTCCAATAATCATGCATCAGCTAATTCTAGTACAACTTATTCATTCAGGCAAACATTGCACAGACACAATGAGTTGTGATTCACCTATAAGTTATAACACGCAGCTACCTAAAGTCACAAGCCAACGAGAATCCTAATAGGCCTAAGGTACCCGCGACAACTCAATATTTTGGTCAGACTCAACCGTGTCAGTGTGTTGTCCATCGTCCCAGTGGCTATCATCAGTATCGTAAAATCCAGACTTCAATTCACCTCCAAGATCCCCAATGGTCCTAGTCATAAAAGTGTCTTCCTCCCGCCGACTGCGTCGATTTGTTGCAAATTGCATCCCAGGCTGAGTATCATAGAGTTCATCTCTGGATTGGCCAACAGAGCGTAGGTTCAAAACAAGACGAGAGATCATGACGGAAGTCATAAGTTGGCTGAAGGATGCACCGATAGCTTTGAGATCTTCGACTGCGAACTGCAAAGAATTATTAGGGGCTGTTGATAAGTCAGGAATCGAGTTAACCTACAATATAGATCAGGATGTTCAGGAAGTTAACCGAGAAGATGACCATAAAGTACATCACTCCGTCTCGGACAAACAGTTCAATTGTTCTGAGATAAGGAAATTGGATCAGAGTACCAAGAGAGTTCAAATAACGACGTACGGCGTACTTCCCCTTCCCCTTCTGGTAAAGTAGGCCTTAGTCCGCCAAAGGGTGAATGAGAATATGAAAACGTCCGTGACGAGCGGGCCAAACCATAGGGCCGCTGCGTGTGATATCGATGAGTATTGGTCTCTTTTTTGAAAGTGGATGACAAACCAAAAAGTGTATGTCCCGTAAAAATACATCCTAATACCGCGAGGTGAGGATGAGCCCTCAAGTTCGTCTGAATCTACGCACCTACTAGCTGAGGGGGAAGCGGCACGGCTGGGAAAACGTCAATCAAGATAACGGACTTCCAGAAAAAAAGGGCAGCGACTAACGAAAACCATTATGTATCCCGTAAGCGCCCACAATGATTTGAGCTACGAGGACTGTCGAGAGAACTGCTAGGATAGGAAGCTTGCAATCATAAAGGGCATAAATGCGGAGGATCATGACCATCTCGCAGACTATCAATGATCAGATTATAATCAAGGTTCTTCGGGAAAGAAACTGACCACCGACAAGGGCGACGGTACAAAACCCCTCAAATGAAACGTATTTCGTACAGCTATAGAATCTGGGTCAGCTCGGCGCAAGAAATGTCATATTAGTACGTACGTCTAAAAAAACAAGGATAAGTGTCCGGTTCTATGAATGAAAAACCAACTCACTTCACCCTCCCAAGCTGGATTATGAAAAGCATCCAGGATAAGGGCAAATTGCACAGGTGTTAAATATCTGTTGAGGGCGAAGAGTACGGTGGCGCCGGTGAACTTGCGTTTCCATATCCGTTCGACCTAAAGTACCAGACATCAGTCTATCCTTATGGGTTCATGCCAAAGGCCACGTACTTCATCTCCGAAAGTGATCACTGTCGGAATCATCAACTTTGAGTTGTCCATCGCAGCACAAAAACTTACGGTGGTCGAAAATTAACATCGCGTAGCCAGCAAGTTGGAAATACTTTGCTGCTAAACTAACGCAAGCGTTTAG